AAAAAAAAAAAAAAAAAAAAAAAAGAAAAAAAAAAAAAAAAAAAAAAAAAAAAAAAAAAAAAAAAAAAAAAAAAAAACAAAAAAAAAAAAAAACAAAGACAAAAAAACAAAAAAGAGGAGAAAAAGAAAAAAAATAAAAGAAAAAAAGAACAGACAAAAAAAATGAAAAAAGAAAGAAAAAAAAGAAAAAGAATAAAAACAAAGAAACAAAAAAAAGAAAATAAAGAGAAGAAACGAAAGAAAAAAAGAACAAAGACAAAATGAAAAAGAGAAGAAAAAAAGAAAAAATGAAGGAAAAAGAACAAAAACAAAGAAACATAAAAGAAAAAAAAAAGAGAAAAAAGAAAGAACAAAGAACAAAACAAAAAAATGAAAAGAAGAAAAAAAAAGAAATGAAAGAAAAAAAGAACAAAAACAAAGAAATGAAAAAGAGAAAAAAAGAGAAGAAATAAAAGAAACAAAAACAAAGACAAAGAAATGAAAAAGAGTAGAAAAAGAGAAAAAATGAAAAGAAAAAAAAACAAAGATGAAAAAACGAAAAGAGAAAAAAAGAAAAGACAAAGAAATGAAAAAAAGAAGAAACGAAGAAAAAAATAACAAAGATAAAGAAATGAAAAAGTGAAAAAAAAAAAGAAATAACGATGAGAAAAAAGAACAAAGAAATGAAAAAAACAAAAACGAAAAACATGAAAAGAGAAAAAAAAAAATTTGAAAAAAATAACGAAAAAGAAAAAACAAACCAAAGAAAAAAAACGAAGAGAATAAAAGTAAAGGAGAAGAAAAGAAATGATAAAAAAAAGAAAAAAAAATTAGAAAAAAATGAAAAAAATTGAAAAAATGTAAAGAAAAAAATAATAATAATAAAATAAACAAATCATTAGTTTTAAAACAAGTATAAAAAAAAAAAAAATTACAAACCTGCCAAAGCGAAGCGAAAAGCTTGTCGAAAAGCTTGTTGAAAAATCGTGTAAAGCGAAAACAAAAAAAATCAATTACGCGATCTACTTATATGATCACCAATCTTAAATATGATTGGCTGATTATATAGGGGTCATCATGGCGATGGGTCGCCATTTTATTTTTCTCAAAGTTAAATTATTAAATTAAAATTAATAAATTGTTAAAAATAATATTTTTTATTTTATCTGATAATTTGGTAAATAAATTTTTAAAAATTATACTGTAAAAAGTTTAAAATTATATATAATTTAGTATATTGAACAAAATTTAAATAATAATTAACTTTAGTTTACTTAATAAAAAATTAAGTTTCCTATATTACTAAAGTTGAAAATACTATTTATACTAAAATCATATTAAATTTTGAAAAACAGTACTGATCAAAAAATACTAATTTTTTTTAATTTTAATTATCTCAAGAATTATTATATATAATTTTATAAACTTTTTTTATTTAAAAGCCTTAAATTTAATTGACGATTCTCCAGTCAACTGAAGAATGATCATAGTGAAACGTGACGCGGTTTTATATATAAATTACTATA